TACTGTGGTTGCCGTTGTCCGAGACAGTCTTCTCGGTCACTGCGTGAGTCAGGAATAGGTCTGCGCGCAAGTGCTCTTAGCATGAAGGTGACGAATTCACAATATGAAATTGATAACTACGTATGCATTATTTATAAACTAAATGTAAAGTTCCTATTTTTCCTGTATAAACCATGTAGAACAACTAACAAATGATATTCTAATACGTCCTTTCACTTGTGAGTCTTTCATACGAAGCTCAAGCCCACAGAGCAGATCGATAACGGGTACGTCATCACAGGTCCCACGTAGATCCGATCAGATACCATCACTACAAAATAATTGTCATATTCCAACGGAAAATCCTATGTTAATATATTCCAATAGAAATTCCAATGGATATTCCAATGGTATAGCTTCCGTTGGAATGGTTCCAACGAAAATTCCAACGTAATTATTTCGTTTGAATGTGTTTTTCATTGAAATTTTAGATGAAATTTGATGATTGTAACGGCTATATTTCCAACCACTTTTTACCGTTGGAATATGCAAATTCCGTTGAATTTTTATTTCCACACCCGTTGGAAAATTCACCGTTGGAATCGTCAAAATCCAACGAAAATTCCAATGAAAAAGTCGTTCCAACGGAATATTTTTATTTGAATTTCCGTTGGAATCCATTGAAAAATTCCAACGAAAATAATAGTATTGAAATATCCGTTGGAATTATTGTTGGAATAATTCTTTTGGAATAGATTGCCGTTGGAATTTCATCATTTTCTTGTAGTGCATGAAAGAATTTGGTGAACGAGTGTAGTCCTATGAAGGTGAAGCGCACCATAAGAGGGTGCTAGGGCTTCAAACGAGTCGAGCCGAGTCGAGCATTGGCCTTATCGAGCATGATTGATTTTTTTTTAGCTGCTCGAGCTCGATTTATGAGGCTCGAACTCGACTCGAAATCAGATGCTCGAGCTCAGCTCGAAAATTTTGAAGTAAAATTATCATGAAGCACTTGTGTTCTATTATTTAAATATATAAGGGGTATTTTAGTAATTTAATATATATCGAGCCACTCGACGAACCGCTCGACAATGAAAAATATGGGCTCGAACTCGACTCGAGTTCGGGCAAACTCGAGCTCTAGTTGAGCTTTGACTCGAGCGCTCGCGAGCGGCTCGTGAGCCGCTCGACTCCATAGTGAGATTCCATCCCAAAACTTGTTTGTAGTAAGAGGAGTAGCCCACTGGACTTATAAGTTATGCCTATTTTCCCTATATAAAAATATAGATATTATTATATATTTAGTATGACATTTTTTATTTTGCGACTTACATGTGTTATATTATAATAATTTTTTAACTTACAACATATAACTACATTAAACATAAATATATCAATTGAGAAATAATTTTTTTTCTAATTAATTTTGATAAATATTATTATTTTTTATTATTATAAAGATAAATATAATTTATTTATTTCATATATACAATATGGATATCAAATCGAAGATCATCAAAAGATGATTAATTTGATATATTATATATGTAAACCGATAAAAAATACAAAAGTTATCAACCTTTAAAATACATTTACAATTCAATAGCTAATTGAATGAAGCAAATAAAAAATGGGTACTTCTATCGCTTCGGAAAAAAAAAGGGATATATTAGTCACTTAGTGCCTCGCTATGTAAAATTACAAAGAATTAAAGAGTTATATTAACACAAGTGATATTAAAATAGCTAAGATTGTTAAATAATATTTATAGAAATGTCCGAACTTAGATTATTAATTATTAATATATCAATATTATTTGTCCAAACCAATGTTTTAAAAACCGTACCGGTCGTCATACCGGTGTAGCGACCGGTATGCGGTATTACCGGTACGACCGGTATTATCGTCTATTTTACTGGTTTCAATAAATTTTAAATTAATTTGTTGTTATAATATAAATAGTGTACAAAATGAACTTTAATTAATACTAAAATTACTTAACATCTAATAACAATATAAATATATTAAAATTTAGTGTAGAAATTTCAATTTACATAAATAAAATAATAAAAATATATTAAAAATATTTTTTTTAAAAAAAAATGGGAAAACCGGTATTTTTTACCGGTATTTTGGCCGGTATTTGGCGGTAAAACCGGTATTTTCCGGTATAAAACCGGTATTTTGATCAAAATGGTATTTTGGGTGTAACCGTACCGGTCGGACCACCGGTATCCGGTATTACCGGTAATACCGGCCGGTACGGTACGGTATTTAAAACATGGGTCCAAACCTAATTAGGAAGCATGATTCTTCGCCAAGTAGAATTCTGAAGCACCAGAAATAGCCACGTAGGTTCAGCACATTCGTGAATTATATAAAGGAGATGTGAGACAACTCACAAGTCATATTCTAATAAGTTGTATATAACATTAATGCATATCAAAACTATTATATGTATCATGTGCTATGCGAGGAGATACATTAATGCGATAAAAAAAAATATAAATTATATGAGTAGATAATACAATATACAATTTATCATACATTAATTGTTAGAAGTGGGATTACCTTATTTGTTCTGACTAGACATGCCCAAAACCGGTTCGGGGCACAGTTCAGGGCCAAGGTTGGACGGCCCTAAACTGGCCCAAACATATGCACAGGCTAGTTCGGTGAACTACCGTTTCTGTGCCTGTCAGATTCGTTAAAAAAAATTAAAAAAGAAAAATAAAAAAAAAACAAACAAAAAAAGGCGAAGTGCTGATTGTAGTTCCTATTAAGAACCGGCCCAACGGTTCAAAAAAGTATGTATAGGTTGCTCGGAACCGACCCCGTCAAACCACAGGTCGGTGCAAGGCCTGTTGGCCATGGGTCGGTTCTGTAGGATATCGACAGGACGATGTCGTCTCCTGGCTTCGGCTTAGTGAGCAGTAAAAGCTCAGCTAAAAACTCCTTGAGCCGCTCAAAGGCATTTTGTGCTTGGGGTATCCTCTCGAACCGAGATCTCTTTCCTCAAGGCTCGAAAAAATGAAAAATTCTTTTTCGCAGTTTGGCGATGAACCTGTTGAACCCAACTAATAGACCAGTGAGTACTTGGACTTCTCTTACGATTTTTGGTGATTGCATCACGAGCACCGCCTTTACCTTTTATGTGTTGATTTTGATCCTCTTCTCTGTGACCAGGTAACCTAAAAACCTTCTTGATCTGACCCACAATTTGCGTTTCACTGCATTGAGCTTCATGTCATAGTTCAATAGCGTTTTTAAGGTCTCCCTCATGTCATCGATGTGATTCTCATATCTTTTGCTCTTCACGAGCGCATCATCCACGTAGACCTCCATGTTCCGATAAACTTGGTCTTTGAACATCTTGTCCTATAGTTGCTGGTAGGTTGCAACAGCATTCTTGAATCCAAAGGGAATCGCCATGTAGCAATACGTGCCCTTGGGCGTCACAAAGCTCAACCGACAAGGGTATATGATGATATCCTTGAGAGACATCCATCATACTCGAAGTGCTCGCAGCCCACCGTAGAGTTTATGAGATGATCGATTAGAGGTAACTGGTAGTGGTCGTTTGGACAGGTGTTGAATAGTAAATTGTAGGGTAGATAGTAACCGAGCTATCCGATCTCGAGTCGTTCTCAAAAAAAGACTATTCGGAGTTTCGTTTACTACTTAATTGCCCAAAGCACATAAAAACAAGAAAATGAAGACCTAAACATGCTATGTTTGTGCCTTCACAATCTTTACGAGTTTGCGTCTGCCACTGATTGGGCATACAATTATGCCTTGTTTTAAACTATTAATCCAATTCTAACTTCCACGGAGCCAGGGCCTGGGTAGGATTCGCACAATGACACGTACTACGTTCTTGATGTCTATAGTCAAAAGAACGTTGATAAAAGGCACACTGTTTTGTCACAAAGCTTGCTTGTATATAGAGAG